AAAAAAGAAAAAAAGAAAAAAAGAAACACATACACTAGTTTACAACAATATCTCAACTCCAAACTCTAACACACTCAAATACATTCCAACGGTGGCGAAGGATTCAATTCTTTCAACATCCCCAACACTTGTCTCATAGTGGGCCTCTTTCCCGGGTCCTCCGCCGTGCAAAGGTACCCGACCCGCAAACACTCCACCATCTGCCCCGCCACCTCAGCACCACACCCGGCCAGCCTCGAGTCCAGCGCCTCCTCCCCTTTCCCATCCCTCACCAACCCCCTAACCCACCCCACCGTCTCATCCATCCCTGGCCGCCCCGTCAGCAGCTCAATCAACACAACTCCAAAATCGTGCACGTCACCAAAAGTCGAGCCCGAGCCCATTCCGAAATCAGCAATCCTCGGCTCGCAATCGTCCGAAAGAAGCACGTTTGACGGGACGAGGTGCCCGTGCACGACGGGCCTCGAGCCCGCGTGGTGGAGGTAAGCGAGCCCGCGGGCCACGCCGACCGCTATCCGGTGGCGCGTGTGCCACTCAACTTTGTCATCCGGGCCCGGCCCGGCGGGCCCGGCTCGAATCTCCCAGACGTCACCGCTCCAGTCGTCGGTGTCGGGAGGCCCGGAAAGGAAGGGGAGCTCGTCGTGAAGCCAACGGTGGAGGTCGCCGTTGGGCATGTACTCGTAAAGGACGAGCTTTTCTTGGCCTGGAGAAAAAGAAAAAATTGATACATTTCGAAACCTATTATTAATAAGCTGTAAACGAGCCAAGCTGAGTTCGGCTCGTTAAATATACGAGCCAGAAATCGAGTTCGAACTCGGCTCATTAAGGCCTCAAACTCGAGCCGATCTCGAGCTTTAACGAGTCGTACTATGTAAAGTAATTATATAAAAAAATCTCTTTTCGAGCCGAGTTGTTAACCAAACGAGCTTTAAATGGGCTCGAGTTTGGCTTGTTAAGGTCTCAAGCTCGAGCCTTAACGAGCTGAGTCGAGCCAGAGCCAGACTCGTTTAATTTAACAGCACTACCTATTTACCAACCAAATGCAATTAATTCCTCGCATTTGTGTTTGGTGAGTGGCTCATCAGTCCATGTAGAGTCATTGTCATAGGCTCATAAATGAGATATTTCGTGTTTGTACTTTGTGTATACATGTTTTCAAATTTATTTCAGAAATTGCTCGTGCCAGTCTTAAATTCGGCCTAACTTGCAATCAATCTGCCGTGTAACAAAGGGTATGTGACAATGTAATGTGTGTTTTGCGCAGATATGAGCTCAAATGCCATGAAAACAAGGATTTGGCGGTGGTATTTTCTTTGCAGATTTTAAAATTCGAATCATGGATTACACTCAGAGATAAATTAGCTCGAAGGCTCTTGAAATTCAAAAACAAATGTCCCAAAATCTCCACATTTGACTTTTTTTCTTTTTCCAAGAAAACACGAAAACCAGAGCAAATAATTCCGAGTAATTTTCTTAACAGTAATAAGTTCAAAAATGGGTCTGTGACTGTCACTACCTTCCAGACCCAGCTATCACGAAAACCTATTGACTATAATTGTAATCATAACCTGAAAATTGGCGTTTTCTTCTTCAGAAACCCACAATTTCACGTGAACCCATCAAAGTTTTTTTCAACAGCTAAAAAAGATTAAAAAAATGAAAAAAAAGGTACACAGACACATACCAGCAATGCAGTAGCCAAAAACTGGCAGCAAATTTGGATGCTTGAGCCTGGAAAGGTCTTCAAACATAGCCACAGCTTCATCATGGCTAAGCCCCCTGGCATTTTCTAAGACCTTGATTGCCACGTGGAGCTCTCCGGGCAGAACAGCCCGGTAGAGAGGCCCGCACCTGCCCTCCGCCAAGAGGGACTCTTTTCCAAACCGACACGTGGCGGCAATTAGGTCTTTGAATGTGAGGTTCATCAGCGGCTTCTCGAACATCACCACAGGAGCTGAGGTGGGCTCTTTGATGTCCGCAACCCAAGACGAACCGGACTCGGTCTCGAACGCAAATGGGCCGGACTTCTCGATCCGGAAGGGGATCTGGTGGACCGGCTTCGAGATTGACCACTTGTTCCGCCTGGCCCATTTTCTCTTTCGGTACGCGCAGTAAGTGAAGAGCGCGATTCCTGCCATGGCTAGGAACGAAGACGAAGCTAGTGTTGCGAACAGGATTAGGTCTCTTCTCTTCTTCGAATCGGGCTTTTTCTTGTTCTTCACGGGCTTGAGGTTATTTGTTTGGCGGTGTGGTGTCGCCGCCGGTTGGTTGCGATTGATGTGCAAATCGGGCTTTGTGGTGCTGGCGGTGTTGTTTACCGGCGGGCTGGTTAAATTGCCGGCGTGGATAAAAGCAGAATTGCCGAATTTTTGAAGCTTTTTCGAATCCAAGGAGACGGAGAAGTTGTTGAACGAGATGTTCAAAAATTTCAAGCCGTCCAATTGTGGGAAATCAGCCGGAAACCTACCGGCGAACCGATTGCTAGACACATCTAGGTATTTCAAGGATTTGAAACCGGAAATGGGCTTCAAATTGCCGGAAAAATCACAACCGGAAACGTCTAGCGTCTCGAGATTCGTTAAATTGGAAAACCAGGAAGGAAAAGCAACACCCTGAAAATCATTGTGCGACATATCGAAGGAGGTGAGATTCCCAAAATACGAGAAATGGGTGAAGCTGCTGAACCTGTTATAGGAGAGATTGACCCTTCGGACCGGCGAGGATCCCAGCAAACCCGGTTTAACAACTCCGACCGCCCCGCCGAGCCGGTTCCTCGACAGGTCGACCGCGAGGAGGCCGGGGAGGGACCAAATCGCGGGGGAGACGGAGCCGGCCAGGTAATTGCCGGAGAGATCCAGCGTGCGGAGGCGCGTGAGGTTGCAGAGGTGCTTCCACGCGACGGCGCCGGTGAGATTTCGCGACGGGAGGATGATTTCGTAGACGCGGGGGGTCGAGCAGTTGGGGTGGGAGAGCCAGGAGGTATTGAAGTTGGCGACTGCGGCGAATGCTCGGGAGACGGCGGCGTGGTCGGAGTCCTCTCCGCCGCAGGTCGAGGATGAGTGGGTTAGAGAGATGAGGGAAAGGATGAGGATGAGTTTGATGAGGGTTTTCATGGCGGGGATTGAGGAATTTTCCGGCGGCTTTTTGGTTTTTTGGCGTGAGTGAGAGAGAATTGGGCGGATATGATATGAGTGAAGAGTTTGTGCAGTTGTTATTAATTTGATTATTCTGGTTTTTTGTCAACTACTCTGTGGAAGAATTAACTGAACCACTATAGACAAAAGATCATTATATATACTAATACCCTACGTGCGATACAAGGGAGCATTTATTACCTATTTATTTTTTAAAAAATATTTTTATATTTAAATTGTCTCATGTCATTAGAAATTTCATGTAAATGAAACTATATGTTATTAAACACTTCTTATGTACAACATTAATGATTTGATTCTTTGACACGTAAAGTACTACATAGGTGTTCGATCTTATCCAAAATTGCATATTATTAGTTATTAGTTAACAAATTTTAAAAAAAATTAAAGGATCTTATTTATTAAACAAAATTAAAGTAGAAAAAAAGTAGAAATTTTTAGGGATTTTCACCTACTATTTATTTTAAATCTAATTCTAAATTTCAATTAAGAAAAATTGAAAAGAATCATTAGTTACTCCTGAAAATGGAACCGATTTTTCTCCAATAAACCGATTTTTTTATCAAACAAATTGATCCGAATTTTTTTTAAACCAAATAAAAAAGTCATCAATTTTTTCATAAAAATGCAACAAGATTTTCCTAACATTGCACCGAATTTTATACTAAACAAATTGAATTGAAAATAATTCTTGTTAATGTTTATGCAACTGTCTCTTTCGTAAAGAAAATGATATGAACTTAACAAAAAAAAACTGATGAACTTTCCAAAATCTCGGTAAAACATGGTTAAGAAAAAAAAACATAGCAATCCAAAAAAAATCGATACATTTAAATTTTGAAAAGTTGCACACAATTTTTCCTAAATAATTAGATAAGATGACTTTAACTATCAATGATGAACCGCTTTTGTTACCAAAAAATGTGAACACAATTTTGAATATACATCTCGTCCAAATATCAGTTTTATTTTAACATAAAAATTGCAGTGGCTCTATCCAATTTACACAATTTATTTGAAAGAAAAAATTATTCAATAAGAAGAATTTGGTTAAGAATTATACAACTATTTGCTTCCTAAATTTGTATCCAATTTGCACAGTTTTTAAATTAATTTGTATTTAGAATTGTTTTCATAAATAATTGACACATTTTTGTATAAGAATCTCCAAATTTGTTAGCAAAAAAGATATGATTTATATTTTGGTAAAAAAATAAAATATGATACGAAAAAAATGGGATTCAAATTTTTGCCCTAAGAATCTCCAAATTTGTTACCTAAAAAATAGGATTTAGATTTTGTTACTAAAGATTCACATGTGTTTTTTTAACTTTCTATTAATAGTAAGTCAAACATTATATTTATTTGGTCAAACTTCCTATTAATGTATTTTTTCAACAACCTCTTTATATATATATAGATATAGATAACCAATTTTTAATTTGATGTTTGCTAAAACTAATTGATAATGTAACTAATAGCGAATAGATGATAGTTTATAAGTAAATTTAAAACTTATAGTTCGTAGCTTATGAGTTGTGGTTGAAAAACTAGTTAATATGATGAAATTTTTGGTAAAATTAATTGATTCGTCAGTTGAACTAAAAATTTTGACGAACTTATTTGAAAAGATATCCAAAGAAGTTAATGAGATAAACTCGAGTTTTTTTACCAAAATTTGTCTTACCAAACCGAACTTATTTGTATATTGAAAAATTATAAGCTAATCAGATAAATTATAAGCTAACATACGATGCCTACTAAACACGGGGACTGACTCGTCGTACTTTACAAAAAATATATATATAGACTATTAAAGGTCATATTTCTGTTTAAAAATTCTTAGAGTATGATATTTTTTAAGGAAAGTATATATTCATGTAAAAATATGTCAACTTAATGATTAGACCGCCTAATGTAAAAGACTTGCCCTTTTTTCATGATAGTATATAATTGTTACTTGGGTCGACTCGATATATTTTTTTAAGAAAAAAATATATTTATTGTATGAAGATGGTATACTTCTGTTTTATGTTGGTTTTTAAAGTATGTTTGTTAAGTATCATAAACTAACATATAATTTATTTAGTTAGTTTATAAGTTTTATCAAAATAAGATCTGTATGGTAAATTAAGATTTTTATTTTTATTTATTTTTTTATTTAATTCATGTTTATCTCATAGGGCTATTTAGGTGATTTAGGTGGCTTGTTTAAAAAAAAACATTTAAAATTTATTTTGTCTCACCTATCAACTAATTCTATCAATAACTTCTATAATGTTAGCTAGCCTTCAACCACCAATCACAAGCTATCAGTTGTAAATTTTAAATTAACTAACAAGCTATTAATTAACTTATCAACTATAATTTAGCTTTTCGCCTAAATTTACTAAATATTTTTTTAAGAGTATGATATTTCAACTAAGCTGACCTAGCCATTCGACGTTCATATTATTTCACAAATATTCATACTTATAAGAAAATTGATACATGATCGTAAATATGTTATTGATAATATAAATAGATACTTCTGTTCATAAATCTATATATATATAAAGAGGTTGTTGGAAAAATACATTAATAGAAAGTTTGACCAAATAAATATAATGTTTGACTTACTATTAATGGAAAGTTCAAAAAAATACATGTGAATCTGTAATAACAAAATCTAAATCCTATTTTTTTGGTAACAAATTTGAAGATTCTTATGGCAAAGTTTGAATCCCATTTTTTTCGTATCATATTTTAATTTTTTACCAAAATTTAAATCATATCTTATTTTTAGCAAATTTGGAGATTCTTATGCAAAAAATGTGTCAATTATTTACGAAAAAAATTCTAAATACAAATTAATTTAAAAATCGTGTAAATTAGATACAAATTTATAAAGCAAATAATTGTATAATTCTTAACCAATTCTTTCAATCTTATTGAATAATTTTTTTTCAAAAAAAGTGTGTAAATTGGATAAAGCCACTTGCAATTTTTATTTTAAATAAAACTGATATTTAGACGGGATGTACATTCAAAATTGTGTCCACATTTTTTGGTAACAAAACCGGATCATCATTGATATTTAAAGTCCCCTCATCCAATTATTTAAGAAAAATTATGTGCAACTTTTCAAAATTTAAATGCAGCGATTTTTTTAGATTTTTATATTTTTTCTTAAATATGTTTTACCGAGATTTTGGTAAGTTCATATCAATTTTTTTTTGGTTAAGTTCATATCATTTTCTTTAGGAAAGAGACAGTTGCATAAACATTAACAATTTATTTTAGTTTTTTATTATAATTATTTTCAATTCAATTTGCTTGGTACAAAAATCGTTGCAATGTTAGGAAAATTCGGTTGCATTTTTAGGAAAAATTGATGATTTTTTTATTTGGTTTAAAAAAAATTCAGTTATATTTGTTTGATAAAAAAATCGCTTTATTGGTAGAAAAATCGGTTTCATTTCCAGGAGTAACTAATGATTGTTTTCAATTTTTCTTAATTGAAATTTAGAATTAGATTTAAAATAAATAATGGATGAAAATCCCTAAAAAATTCTACTTTTTTTTCTATTTTAATTTTGTTTAATAAATAAGATCTTTTTTTAAAAAAAATTTGTTAACTAATAACTAATAATATGAAATTTTGGATAAATTCGAATACATATGTAGTACTTTATGTGCTAAAGAATCAAATCAATCATGTTGTACATAAGGAAGTGTTTAATAACATATAAATTTCATGAAATTTTTAATGGCATGAGACAATTTAAATACATAAATACTTTTTAAAAAATAAATAAGTAATAAATGCTCCCGTGCATCGCACGGGTAACGTACTAGTTACAATGAATTGGTAAAATAAACCATAACTATAAATATCATATTAGATCATATAAATATTTATTTTTTGAAACATGAACATTTCTTTAGTGATATTTAATCTTTATTTAAAAAAAAAAAATCCGTAGCTTTAGACTAAAATTAAATTATTTAATTAATTTTGATCTGCTTAGTCCACTCACATCATCTTTCAAATCAAGTGGTATATTTGGTTGGAGATAGTAGCAGCTGGCTGTGGGGGTGTAAGGCTATGTTTGTTCCGGAGGGTAGGGATTTTAAGGGGAGTGAAGAATGGGAATGTGATGTAAAATAATTTTATCTTGTTTGAAAGAATTTGGAAAAATTTTGTTAAAATATTTTATATAATAAGGGTAAAATTGTAATTGAATGTGTTAAAATTTTCCTTCCCCTCCAAATTCTCCCACTTTTGAAGGAAAGCAAAAATCAAGAGGGGAGGGAATTCTAACTTAAAATTTTTCCTTCCATCCTATCTAAATTTATGAACCAAACAAGGGAAAAATGAAAAAATTCCTCCCCTCCCCTCCCCTCCTCTCTTTTTCTCCCAAACCAAACAATACCTAAAAGTTGACCGACTAAGACTTAATTTTGGGTAAGACTACAATCTCGTTACGGAACCGTCAATGATAATTGATCTAACAGTTACAAATCTCAACGGAATAATTCCGTAACGGGATTGTAGCATTTTCCCTTATTTTTTTCTTTCTTTCTTTCTTTTTTTTTTTCACTTTTGGAAATGAAAAACAGTGACAACACAACTGTTTTTCAAGAACTTTTTTTTTTTAAAAAAAAATGGTTGAGTTATAGCCTTTAGGATGAAGTTTTGTTTTCCCATCCAATAAAAATTTATTCAAAACATAAAAATAAAAACTAGACCTTGGAATTTATTTTAATAACTGAAAGAAATAGAAAAACAATCAATAAATTTAGTGGAAACGGCACCCATTAATTACTTTTCACTTAATATTCCAGTCGTAAATGCTCGAGCTCGATTCACTCATTTAAATATTTTATTAGTTTGTTTTTTATTTTTTTAGTTTTTATGGGCTTGAGATGATATAGTCGAGCCTAATTTGTGTGTGGACGAACATTTTTTGTATTCACCAAAAACTCATTTAATGTTTTAAATATAGTAAATGAGTTGAGTCTGATCAGATAAAATTTTTACGATCTTGAACGATGTTCGTTCCACTTTTGTCATGTTTTCTTTGTTTATTTCATGCTTGTTTTTCCCCTACTTAGGTATTTTTCTTTGGTTTTTGGTCCGTTTCGAGTCGTCTCGTACTTATCCTTTGTTTTAGTCGTTTTTGG